TATTGCTGAAATGGTTTCGTACCTTTGAAGCTTCCCAAGGTTATCGTTCGAAATTTACGGGTGTGAGGTGTGACGGCCGCGCTCGCAAAAGCGCCCTTGTCCCACGCGGTGCAAAAACCCAAAACGCGCGATGTCGTCAACGTGTTAATGCCACGCAACAATCAGGGTCAACTGTTCGCTGTGCCATTCGGAACTTTTCACAACCCCTTCCCTCCTCCTCTTGAGGGCTGCTTGGAAGAGGGAGGTGATAAATATGTCCAAAGAAACATCAAATGCTCCCGTATTCTCTACTTCGAGCCACTTTCCTAAAGACTTCGTCAAAATCGTCGAAACCCATCAGAACCGATTTCCTCCCCTTCACTGCGACAGAAATCTTCCTGGAAGTTTCAAATACACCCCCCCAACCTCATTGAACTTGGTAGAACGGACGGTCAACCCTCACCATAATGCACTAACTCCCGTAAAAAACTTTTATTCTTTATATAGTTTCGAGCAATGTGAAAGGCTTTAGCGAAGAAGGTTGCTGAGCTACTACTAAACGAAGACTTCAAAAAGTGAATCTCAAGACGACCGGCACGAGGGCTCTCAGAGTCCACCACTCTCATTCAGGGAGAAGGTGGGCCTCGCTGAAGGTAACTAGGCCGGCGAGCTAACCTCTGGACGTCTTCTTCCTATGCGTAATATGATATGCGTCCAAGTGTCCCAACTACTGCACATGCGGTCCAGTCTAATCTTACCTACGGAGAGAATGTTCCGCATAGCTAGCCGTAGAATTTGCACTTCAACGCGTTCTGCCTAAAATCTGTTGAATGTTTGTTTCGGCATTAACAATGTTTGCTACTTCTTCTGAAGCAGTCTCGCAGGGCAAAACGTAACACCAGACACCATCTTCATCAATGAGACCTCTTTGGAGTTCTAGAAGCTGATCAGACTGGGAGCATCCACCAGCAAATTTAGCTCATTTAAAACCGCTTTGGACAAGCATCTTACATCATAGCTCCTTGTCTCTTGTTTTCCTTTTTCCTCTGTGCCAGTTTACTGCTCTTCATATTTGTTTGAATGTTGTTTTACGCCATAGATATGTTTTGTTTGTTTTTTTGTTGCCTCACACACAGGCACGCCTGTGTAATAAACAAACACAAAACAAATCCTTTTTACAGGTCAGCAAGCAGCTTACAATGCTTACCGACAGTACATTAAAGAACAAGGACATGAGGAGCTGAGGTTAGTCTTCTTCTTTGTATCTGCACATATATGGTACTCCTCCAAAATGTTCGCTACCAAAGAATTGAATTGAGGGCATGGCTGGATATCCCAGCGTTCTCATCGACTTCCGTGTTTACTGCCGAAGGTTCTCGAGGAAAAACATTGGTATTCTTTCAGAGATCTGTGCTGAGCTCGAGAGGAAGCGGTTAACATTTAGGGGGCTCAGATCATAACACGATCATAAAACATGCTGTGCGTTTCGTAACATACCCGTGAGCCTACACCTATACTCCCTCTCCCAGCTTTCCAATTATGCATGAATGCGCCATGAACATCGTAATAAAATGATTATATTAGGTTGGAAAGAGAGTTCTGAATTACTCAATTCTGGATTTCTCCCGAATGCTCTGGAATCTTCCATGGGTGGTATAGTAGGACTGTGCTACGTACGGTGCTCAAATCAGCTTTCCCAATAATGGCGTTTGCATCGCACTAAATCAACTTTTCCCAGACACTCCGAGCGCTCATCTTGTGCGTACCTCGCCTGGAGACATCAGCTCACGAGAGGTGCTCAGAATCTGTCCAGTGATAGAATGGGGCGTGATCTCTCAAGTGGCGCCTTCATTACGGCTTGAACGCTACGCAGCGGAAACTTTGATCCCTCTGACGCAACGTACGACTACTGTCCATCAAGACGTCGTCGGCGCTGCAATCGTGGATGAATCAAGCAGTCGTCACACTGCATGGTAATGCGTCTTGCGT